ACACAAAGTAAAACTGCCGAAAGAACCCTCCAACAAGCAGGTCAACACTCCCTGGGTAGGTTACATGGCTAACAATAAGGAACCGACATCGCCCTAGATGTGCGATATATTTGCGCAAGTAGCCAAACACCCACAATTAGTATTCATTTGGACAGTATGAACCGCCATCCGGAGATGCTCGCCCAGTCCAAATGACAATCGACAAATTCAAATTAGGGGTGATCTACAACCGGGAAATGATACCGAATATAGAACAATCACGATAGCATAGAAGACCGCATCCTGGTACGGGATGTTAACAAGGTCAATCGAAAATTCTCACTATGATAACACCTTGTCGAAATCCCACATCGAATTTTTTACTATCAAAAATCACTCCTCTGCAGTGTAGCCATCGGCCTACCTCTCGAAACCATGGTGGCATGAATCCTTCAGGGATTCGCACCCAGAGGAAGATGACCGAGTCGATGCCAACGCTTGATGGACGAAAAAGTTGGTTAGCTGAACGAGATGCTTACGTTTTTAACAGAACACCACAGCTGTACCCAGAAAATCGACTACCTGCCTAAATGTATGGACAGGAAATTATCATTCGCTGTAAACACCCTTAAAACTGCATACCACAATCTTTAGTTAGGAACATTTGACGACTACGTCTCAGTTCCTTGAAGGATGCTAAGCTTTGCTAAAATTGGTCTATGCTGTCATGGAGACGAAATAGGAAAGCGTTACTAGCTTCAAATTTGGAGGAATGAAGAGGCAAACCGATACTGATCAATTTATTACAAATCACCGTTTCAACCCAGTTTGATTTGTAGATCCTTTGCCTTTGCCCTCTCGAGCTTAGCGATACGGGCTTGGGACTTGGCGCCCAGAATTCCACCTCCCCAGTGTTTTCGAATCTGAGAAATAGCATTACATGCAACATTCCTTACCTCTTCGAATCGCGACGAGTAATTATTCTTGACGGTTTCCACCAGTTTCGATATACGCGACTTATCCTCTCTGTATGGATTAATGAGCTGAAAAATATACTTACTCTTTCACGTTAGTAAATGCAACACAGGAACAAGTCTTGCGGTGCACCAGCGTCCCTAATTTGGCTTTACCCTTGACGATACAATAAGGAACTCCCATTTTGCGGCAAAGAGTGGGCAAAAAGAGAACGATTTCAATTGGTTCGACATCATGCGCAATTAGCACAAGTCGAGCCTTCTTCTGCTGTATAGCAGCAGTCACTTCGCGGATACCAGCTCGCAAAGTTGGTTTTCTCGGAGCCGGCTCGTCTGCTTTGCCTTCCGTACGCAGCTGGGCTCGATGAACCAAGAGCATTTTCTTAGCTCGTTTACTGAGTGGCTGGTATTTTTCAGCCAAATTGAAAACCTGCAAGGCTAAAGCAAAATGATAAAAAATTAATTTTTCTTACAAGTTGCACGGTCTAACGTCTGCGAAAACTGATGGATCGGAGGTGGCACCTTTAGGCGTCGCTTGAGAATCGCCCGTTTCCGCTGTAGCTCCACGTACTTCGGCCATTTCACAAATCGATAGAGATCACGCTTCGGTTGGATGTTCTGACCGATGCCGAAATTACGAGGCCTTCGTTGAATAAGTGGGTTCTTGACAACCTTCTTCTTGGCAGAGGTCTTTTTAGCAATCTCTGGGAGTGCGGCTACTTTGGAGGCCTTACCCTTCTTCAAGGGTGTAACGACAGGCTCAGGAGCCACAATCTCCTTGATCTTTTTCGCCTTGATAACCTTCTTTGGTTTGTTAGGCTAACAAAAGTGTCAACAGTAACAGCAACACGACGCTCACCATGCTCCTGCGTATTCCAATCCCGCGTGTGTGAACCTTGAACAGTCGTTAAAACAAAATTGTCATTTCACGATTGTTCACAAATATTGATATCTGTATGCAATATTCAACCTAGGTTAAATTACGTACAATTTCCCAACACGAGACAAAGCAATTCAAGCTGCAAACCTTTGAGCGGTACGCTATGCCATCAAGGAAAATTGGGACCAGAATAGGATTTTCAATGCACTATGGAACACCTTCGTAACACATGTTCCTTATTTCCCAAAGATGTTCCTTTTCAGCAAGGACGCCGTACTAGAGGCAATTCGCAGTGGTGGGTGCACACGTGGTGAGCATACAGCCGGGAGAAATCTGGACACTCGCTTGACCGTGACCATTATCAGTCCTGTACAACCTGGCCTGACCCCGGGACCAGTTTCGGCATATACCCCCAGTATCCGCAGCCAAATATATGGGTGATGCTCTTCTACGGACTTCGAAACGGAACTCCAGTGTCGAAATGTGGCAAAACGGGCATCAGGAGCCCTACACCAGCTTAAACGGGCTGTGAGATCAAGGAAACCCGAAGTCCTGCTCCCTCTCTTCAAGGTCTACGTGCGACTGCATCTGGGGTGCTGCGTCCAGGCCTTCCTCATCCAGGACATGAAGATGCCCAACGTCGCTTTCCAAAGTGGTTTGCTGGCTTAAGACAACTCTTTGACGAGAGGTGTCTCGAAACCCTAAACCACTTCTCGATGAGAAAGCATGGTATTCGTGGATGTTTTAAAGTCTCGAAGTGATTCTCTGGTTCGGGGCTCGCGCCCAAACGCCTCGGATCCTTAGGGGTTTCTCGTATTCTGTTTGCGGAGCATGCAGCTGGAAGAACAGAAAAAACTGGGGGGATATATCGTATTGCCCGGCAACTAGCAATGCTAGTTATTCTTGAAATATTAATAATAAACTTAACAATTTGCTATAGCAAACGCGCGAAGGCATAAATAATTATAAAGGGCTATAGTATATTTTTTGTTCTTCTTGTCGTTGGTTTTGCACGAAGGCTTAAGAGGTGGCAATTAGACCTAAATAACTGTCAACTCCAGACTTGAAAGACGCTTTCCTTGTTGAAGAGACCGCTTTTTCTGGCAATGCGTTCCAGTGTGAACCGACCCTGAAAATGAAGAAGTATGTGTGAATGAATAAGCAGGGCTGAATGTTGTATACCTTGCTAACCATGTAGCTATGGCTTCTTTCTTAACCGAATTCCGATCAGTGCTTAGTGACTAGATGGTTGCTGATGTTCGTCAGAACCTGTCACTAATGTTTGCTGACGTTCGCTTCGAATATCCGTCCCCCGAGCAAACAAAACCAAGGATTGGGTTTGTGGAAAACGATATATGCTGACTCTTCCGAAAGGTTGGGAGTGGGTTTGACTAGGCCTAGGCTGTTATTTAAGCAACGGCAGCGGAAACCTGAAAGTAGATCTGATCAATGCAACGAAAGCGTGCGATACAGAGCTCACGGTGGGGAATTGTGTCGGTGCACGCTTTTCGAGTTCATTAAAAGAACGATAATAGTTAAAGCAAAACTTAATCCTGGAAATGTCCAAGTTGCTATATCCAATGGAGAAACTTTCCTCAGAGGATAGCTACCGCCAACTTATGCTAAATCTCGACGGTACACTTGATTGTGTCCGGTGGATAACGGTTCTTAAAGGAAGAAGGGAAAGGCCTGACGGTAGTTTAGCTACCTGATCGATAAGCTAAGTCGCTACTTGATATCTGAACCTTGATGGTTCTGATAGGTATGCCATGGTTATGTACCATGCCTTGATAGTCCTCAATTACACAGGACTGGTTGGAAACTGAACCTATCCTGCTACTAGTCACCAGCGTAAGGTGAAAGTACTTCTGGTACGTGATTTGATGACCATGTCCAGCTTGAATGGATCTATCGAGAAACTTAGAGAAAAACAAGAGGTAAGAAGAGAAAACTGCCGTTGCGAAACTGTCGGTTGAAGAACCGCTACAACTATACGGATTTAGCTTGAAAACCCGATCTGTGGAACACAATTCATTCTGTTACATACTGTGAAAAGTATTGTGACCCCATTATTCATTATTCAAAATATCTCTGATATCGTTTCCATTTGATTCACTTGGTCAATTCTGGGGCACGTGCTAACCGGCTAGCACTGTTCACATTTATTTCTGAATTCTGTTTCACTGCGGTGATACAAGGGAATACTAAAAGCTCACGATGATCAGCCTCTCGAGCATATTCATCCCGTTCTCCTATCATATATGTATACATTCTTCCATGAGTATTGTTTTGTTGCATGCTTTGTTTCCTTCTTCTCTCCCTTTCCCAGCTGTGTATTGCCCTAGACTGCTGAATATCGTCTTTTTGTTCAGATTCGATTGGCTTGGGCCTGTGGAAGGCTTGGGGTTAACACCCACAATGGACATCTTGCCTCCG